AGTGGAGCAACACTTAATTATCCCACATATGACAAGGAGTTATATTTATTTGTTCGAGCCTTGGAGACATGGCAGCACTACATGTGGCCTAAGGAGTTTGTAATACACATGGATCATGAATTATTGAAACACTTGCGAGGTCAAGGCAATCTGAACAAAAGGCATGCGAGGTAGATGGAGTTTGTAGAGACATTTCCTTATGTCATCCGGTACAAATAAGGTAAGGAAAATGTGGTGGCGGATGCATTGTCTTGAAGGTATGTATTACTAACTTCTCTTATTTTTAAGTTACTTGGTTTTGAGCATATTAAGGACATGTATGTTAGTGATTTGGATTTTTTTGAAATTTATGCATCGTGTAATAAGGGGGCTGTAGATAAGTTCTTTAAGCAAGATTGATATTTTTTCAGGAAAATAGATTGTGTGTTCCTAATTGTTCAATGCTAGAGGTTTTAGTGAGGGAAGCACATAGTGGTGGATTGATGGGACACTTTAGGGTTAAAAAGACTTTAGAAATGTTGGGGGGAACATTTTTATTGGCCTAATATGAAAAGTAATGTTGAAAGAGTTTGTAATCGATGCATAACTTGTAAGCAAGCTAAATCTAAGGTATTACCTCAAGGTTTATACACACCGTTACCTACGCCTAGTGAACCATGGATTGATATTTCAATAGACATTGTTTTGGGTTTACTTAGGACTAAGAAGGGACAAGATTCAATATTTGTGGTGGTAGATAGATTCAATAAGATGGCACATTTCATAGCATGTCATAAGACCGATGATGCCATTAACATTATTGATTTATTCTGTAAGGAAATAATGCGTTTACATGGGGTACCTTAGAGTAAAGTATCTGATCGGGATGTGAAATTCTTGAGTCATTTTTGGACAGTTTTGTGGGGTATGTTAGGCACTAAGTTTATGTTTTCAACAACTTGTCATCCACAAACCGATGGTCAGACTGAAGTAGTGAATAGGACAATGACGTAATTATTACGCACTGTAGTCAATAAGAACTTGAAGAGTTGGGAAGAGTGTTTACCGTTCATAGATTTTGCATGTTTTCAACAACTTGTCATCCACAAACCGATGGTCAGACTGAAGTAGTGAATAGGACAATGACGTAATTATTACGCACTGTAGTCAATAAGAATTTGAAGAGTTGGGAAGAGTGTTTACTGTTCATAGATTTTGCATACAATAGGGCCACGCATTCTACTATTTCATTTTCACCATTTGAAATTGTTTATGATTTTAATCCACAACACCTTTGGATTTAATACATTTGTCTGTGAATGAACGAGGTAGCTTAGATGGTAAAAGAAAAGCCGACTTGGTATAGTCTCTCCATGAAAAGGTAATGGCGCAAATTGAAAGTAAAAACGAACAGTTCGCATCGCGAACAAACAAGGGTCGAAAAAGCGTGACATTTGAACCAAGAGATTGGGTTTGGATGCATCTCGGAAAGGAACACTTTCAAGAACAAAGGAAATCAAAGTTGCAACCACGAGTGGAAGGTCCATTTCAAGTCTTGGAGAAATTCAATGTCAATATTTACAAATTGGATCTTCTGGGTGAGTATAATGTTTCAGCAACTTTTAATGTGTCTGATCTCTCTCTTTTCGATGGAGGTGCAGATTTGAGGACAAATCCTTTTGAAGAAGGAGGGGGTGATATGATCTAGGAGTCGAGCCCGTCGAGGACAGGCCCGGGACGGGATCCGTTGATTACCGAAGGAGGCCCGATGACACGTTCGAGGGCAAAGCGGGTGAAAGAAGCAATGAGATTGCTTGCTCAAGCTATGGTGACGAAGTTTCAAAGTTAACAAGTCAAGGAACAAGTTTCATGTTGGGTTTGGAAGATGAAACCAAATGGATCAAAGAGACCAAATGGATCAACTCGATTCAAGCAGCAAACGAGTAGCATGGATGAAAACGGGCATAACTTTCAGCTTGGTTGTCGGATTTTCGCCCATGAGTACACTCCGGAAACGGAACAAAATTCTACACAAGCTTATGCGGGCGAATGATACTTTTGGGCTTGCAACTGCACAGAAATATGTCGAGAATAATTTGGCGAGAATTTTAATTTTTTCGCGAATTTCCTTGTTAGACTAGAATTCTATTTCATTTCCAATTTTACAATATTTTGTAACCTAATTACCTTTTTACTAGGTTTTCTGGCCATTAGTATAAATATAACTTCATTATTCAATATATGAACATTTTGACAAATTTGCTATTGAGATACATTCGAGAGACTATTGTGCTTTTTAAATATTGTTCTTCTTAGAATATTCTGAACTTATCAAGAAGATTCTTGTGGTGTTCAACACCGAGTGCGGATCACGTGTTGTGTAATCAAGAGGTTATTCAAATTTCGTTTTTGTTTGGTTGCTTGGTTGATTATTAGTTCAAACTCAAAATCGGGATTATTCTTTTAGCTTTCTTGGGATCTTCAATCTCGTTGTGGGTTGCGTAGTATTCGTTGCTACGTGGTTTTCATCAAGATGATATGTTGTTTAAATGGAATTCGTGATCAGTATAATCCACTCGAGCTAATTTTATTATTTTATAATGTGGGATTATTGATCTTTTATAAAGGCCATGTTCGGTGTAGCTTTTTGAAGAATTCTATTAAATTTTGATAGATTTGTTGGCTTGCATTTCAAATATAAAACTTCAATCCTATAAGTTGAACGTTTTGATTAAGAGAGTACATATTCATTCGTCCAAAATGTCATTTTTACCCTCCACGTGCAAAGTAAATTGACCGAAAAGATTTACATGCTTCACAATCAATAGAGGACGAAGTAGACGTTTTCACAAAAAGCCACCAATTTTGACTCCATATCGATTTTTAAAGTTAATTGTAGTTTCATAATCTTGTACACCTCGTATTCTCGTTCATTCTCTTTTACACATGTATTGGTCCACATTATTAATTTTTCAATAATGTTATACCAACGAGGTAAATTATTAAAAAAACACATATTTTTATGTTTTACTAGGTGCATGCAACGTGTAATGCACGTTTGCCTAGTTTATATTTAATAGTTTTGTTTAAAAATTAATTTGTTATTAATAAAGATGTAATTTTTTTGGTTAATTAAATAATTAATGATGTAATGTTTATGTAATTGATAAATAATTAGATGTGTGATTTTGATGTTGTGATGTAAGTTGGTGAGATAGAA